ACCTGAATTGAATGTTCTTTATTTTGTATATAATAAATCTGTTGATTTGAAATCCCTTTGACTACTGTACGTTTTTGACAATATAGACATTAGTTATGTGGTGACTGCATCCATTTCAGATGTATAATAACAGTTTTCCCCAAAGACTTAAGTTATAGTAGCTGAAAAGTATTTAAAGTGAAACAGATGTATTGTTGTAGATCAGGGGTGCATCCTGTTCCTGGAGATATACCTTCCTACAGAGTTCAGCTCCAACCCTTAAACTTTAGATCCTAATTAGTTGGTTCAGGTTTGTTTGATCAGGGTTGGAACTGATCTCTGCAGAAAGGTAGATCTCCAGGACCAGGGTTGGGCACCCCTGTTGTAGATTAATAGTGTGGGCCTAGTGAGGGCTAGGTGAGGGCTGCCCGTGCAGGGCCAGCACTAAGGGGCCAACGTTTTGCCAATGAGCAAATTCTCAGCCAGCTGGGGGCCCTTAGGCTAGCTCTAAGTGGGCCCGTAAAGGGCCAGTGCAGGCTTGTTTGCAGGGATGAGCCAGATGCTAAATAAGTGTGCTCTGACGATGACAGTGATGGTCATCTGCTCAAATTAACGTCTGCTCAAATTCCAAGTTTAAAAAGGTAACGGAATATGCTTTATTTTTTTATTCTTTTGTAATTGTTATTACAATATCAGGAGAGTGCTTTTTTTTTTAATTAGGAGAGTGGCTAGAAGGTATAAAGCTAAAACCGGAAGCTAACAATAAAATTAATTTTCAACCTATTCGATTGTGTTTTATTCATGTCTACACCTACCCCACACCTAAACCTACCCCTTACAATAATGCAAAAACAGTAATTATTGTCCAATACTACTAGTATTAGCTATTGTGACAAGGTTCTCTCAAAGATATGAACAAATGGTCTTCTGGAAATGCTAATAATGGTTTAGTTGGATGTTTGTCTAACATTTTTTAAAATTTTATCACTTGTTTGATCATTAAAGAGAATTGCAGAGAACATTAAGTCAAAAGACATGCATAAGGAATAAACCAGGAGTCTCCAGCCCTATTCCAGGAAAGCTACAGTCCTACAGATTTCAGCTCCAACCCCAATCAAACACACCTGAACCAGCTAATCAAGGTGTTCCGGGTTACTTGATACTTACAGGTAGGTGTGTTGGAGCAGGGTTTGAACTGAAGTCTTCAGGATGGTAGCTCTCCAGGAGCAGGGTTGGAAATCCCTGGAATGAACAATGACTACATGTTGTATACACACTGACTTCATCCCAGCTTCATTCCAAAAAAAAAAAAATTCTTATAATGTTTTGCTAACATTTCCATTAACTCTTACAGTTTAGTGCACTTTAGAAAAAAGTGTCTTAATACAGTATTTAGTAGGCTAGAGTGAGGGAAAACTCTCCCCTTAAAGGGTTAGTTCACCCAAAAATTAAAATTAGCTCATAAATTACTCACCCTCAAGTCATCCTAGGTGTATATGACTTTCTTCTTTCAGACGAATCCAGT